AATTAATTATTGGAAGCACTAATTATTCTGCAAATGGTCAAGGACTGTAGCCTTCAATATGGGTTGAAGCTCAACATCAAGAAAACAAAGATTCTTACCACTGGGCCAATTGGTAGTGTCATGATAGATGGTGAAGAAATTGAGATTGTTAACACTCTTGGTACCAGCAGCCAGGAAATCAAGAGATGAATTGCATTGAGAAAGTCTGCTATAAAGGACCTCTTCTGAGTACTGAAGAGCAATGATGTCAGTCTGGAGACTAAGGTGTGCCTGATCTAGGCCATAGTCTCTGCAATTGCTTGCTATGTGCTAGAGAGCTGGATAATGACTAGGGATGACAGAGAATTGATGCCTTTGAGCTATGGAGCTGGAGAAAAGTGTTATATATACCACAAACTGAAAGGAGAACAAACAGTTTTGTTCTGGAGAGGGTGAAATCAGGCTGCTCCTTGGAGTCAAAGATTCTGAGGCTTCATCTGACATACTCTGGGCATGTTGCAAAGAGGGACCAGTCCTTGGAGAGGGACATCATGCTTGGAAGGGTGGAGGGACAGAGAAAGAGAGGATGTCCATCAATGAGTTGGATTGATTCAGTGACTGGGGTTATGAGGGTAGCTTGTCAGAGACAGAAATGTTGGCACAGGATAGAGCAGATTTCAGGGCTATTGTACATGAGGTGGCTATGGCTATGGGTCACAAGTGACTTGACGGCACATAAAAACAACAATTATTCTGTACTGATTAGGGGAAATTCAGTGTACTGAAGAAGAAAAGTAGATTAGTTTAAATGAGAACATTTAGACATAGATAAAGATCTGTTTGTTTAGAAGGTTCATAAATGTAGAATTTTATTTACTTTTTTTTTTTTTCTTATGTGTGTGTCAGAGTATGAAGTTCCATTTGGATAGAATGTACTGAACTAAGGGACTTTAGAAGTACAGCCAGATCTGGGTCAGCTGGTTCTGTGGAGATACAAGCAAGACAACAAGGAGGAATGTGCAGAGCATTTTGTGATCACAAGAATGAGGTGCACTGGGAACAGGGACAGTAGTCAAGTGGAACAGAGGCCTGGGCCAAGGCTAACCTTCAGGGTATTATAATGAAAAGACCCATTTAAAGGTGGGACAATCACTTCAAGTACTTATTACTTGTCATTGAAGGGTGATTGTGTTAGTGATAGGTGGGATCGGAGGAATAGGCACATGAGGAATAGGCACATGTGGAAAATATTCATGTTAGCAGCCAGTGTTAAGCTTGCACCATGACAGTATGGGGCAATGGTAAGAGTGGGGCCAAGGAAGTCAAGTAGACCGGGGATCAAATTCTGCTATGTTATTTATTAGCAAGTTTCCCTGCTACATAACCCAAATTTCTCCCCTCCTTTTTTTTAAAAAAAAAAAAAAATAAGATTAAGATAGAGAAAACTGGTTTGCAGAGTAGTGAAGTTTCATTGTCATGTTGTATGAAAAACATCAGCATGGTAGGAGGCAAAATGGGCTTTGTTAAATGATTTTGCTTTATTATTCATTATTCCTACAAGAAGTCTTAAACATAACCTAAATCTTCATTTCAGGCCATTTATAATATTAGCAGGAAAAGATCCTTTGCCATTTCTGAACTCAGTGAATCATACTTTTTAAAAAATAGCCCCAGGCTCGATTTTTTGAAATTAAGTCTGATACTAAATTGAGTTAAAGTTCATTCATCTGAAATCCAGATTTTTTTCTACTGGTTTGAGATTTTCATTTACTTATCAGTGAATGCCTAATTTCTTTAAGGTCTTGGACCTATCAGTGTAAACTACTTGTAATGATGTAATCAATATACATTGTAGTTAAAGGGTAAAACGAGTTGATGGTGTTATTCTACATTTAACTAAGTGGGTACAGGTTTAAAGATAATTAAGAATGAGTCACTTGTAGGATCACTGAGGAAGGATACAACCCAGTTCAGGCCAAAAAAGACAGTATATTGAGGAGAAATTACCAGACTGGCTCTCAAGCAGAAAACTACCCCCCACTAAAAGTTAGAGGGGTTTTATATTCTCTTACAAGGAACTTGGGGAAGGGGATGCTCACAGATGTTTTTTACAAGCTAGGGAAGTGGGCTGGGGTCTCAGATAACTGTTTCTGGGAAAGGAGGCAGAGCAGGTTTACATCCTTGACGGAGAGACAGAACCACAGCTGCTGCTTCCTGTGATTAGGTCATTTCAGTAGCCATGCTAGGAGAGGAAGGAAAGGGCTCTGCAGTTCTAAAAGCACTGTTTTCAGCTGATTTATGATACTAAAGGAGCTCTAGTGGTCCAATCCATAAGAAATTGCACTGCTAACCAAAAGGTGGTTTTTCTCTGGTCGTTTGAATCCACCAGTGGCTCCCTAGAAGAGAGATGGCCAATCTCCTTCACTGTGATTTACAGTCTCTGAAAAACCACTGGAGGGTCAGCTCTGAGTTGATTCCCACTCGAAGGCGATGAGTGAGATGTCATAGTGTGGTATTTGGAACAGTGGATGTGGAAGAAACAAATTTATTTACAGTGTAATTCAAATCATTGTTGTTGTTAAGTGCTGTCAAGTTGTAGATGACTCATAGTGTCCTATGAACAAAAGACCTGAATACTTATATAACTTTCATCATTTCTCCAAGTTCATAGAGTTTCCGGAGGCAAGCCATTTCAGAAGTGGATGCCACTCCTCTTCCAATCCAAATCATAACAAGCTGTTTACACCAATAATTTTTTAAAGTTAGTGAAGGCTGGAAGTGCAACAATTAATTTACCAGCTGCTGAAAGGTTAGACCCATCTGGCTAACACCACGGGAAAAAGACTTAACCATTTGCTTCCATGATATTTACAGTCAAGAAAAGCCCATATAGCTTTTCTGTTTGGTCACATGGGGTGTCTCTATAAGTTGGAATCAACTCAATAGCACCTACCAGTGTCACCACCAGTATTTCTCAGTATACCCTGAGTCTGTTCTTGACAGTTTCTGATGTGAATTCAACGATATCTTAAGAGCATATTAAGAATTCTTGAAACCCCTGGGTTCCAGAAGATGTGGAAGCAGATTGTTCACTATTATTTAATTAGGATTCAAGAAGTTTGATATAATCTGGTTCAAAGCGGGGATAAAAACCCTTAAAATTAGCTAACTCAGTCCCATAAGGATAAATACTGTATAAAACCGTTGTTGTAGAATGAGTATAAGGATCCAGGAAGGTCGGAGAGGCTGGAAGCAGAGGGATGTGGATGTGCAGGGGAAGGGTGGATTAATCATTGAGTTGTGCAATTTGATGGATGGAGGGGTGAAGGACATTGAAATAATTTGTTCAAATTTGTATTTGAAATTTGTAAATAAACTAGTAGAAAACAAATTAAAAAAAGGAGATCCCAGGATATGAAAAAAAAAAAAAACCCTCCAAACCCACAAAGAAACAAATAAGTAAAGATATGGGGGAAAAATACAAAGTTGTGGCAGGAAAGAAGATTTAATTTATCGACTTTATTAAAGTTTGTATTTTCAATTGAGTTCCCCATGTCACCATTTAATATGTGAAACTAAAACATACAGATGAATATCCCATTTCGCCAGCAGGTGGCACCATGAGAATCTCCCATAAGAAAAGGAAAAAAGTCAAAGCAGGACTTGGAATATTTTTCCTTTCAGGAAAAGTCCAATAATCAATATAGATTTGTATTTTTGATGGTGTTAGAGACATATATATATATATA